AAGACTTTTTTTTTGTTGAATGAAAACTTCACCTTTGTTTCTGGCAGTTATCTCACTAATTTAATCATCCCTCTGTCTTTGCAATCGGCTCAGCTGTCTGTGATCACACAGTCAACACCAGGGAAACTGTTCAAGTCATGCATCTGATGCAGTGCTAGGTGTATGCTAAAACTACAAGCTGTTATCTCCTCACTTTCCCCCCTCTGTCACTCCACTATTACAAATCTGAATTCAAATCTGATTTAAATTACTGAGCAGTCGCCTTTAAAGTTGTCTCCTTCAGGCACAGCTTTCCTCCTACTTTTAGATCACTATCTCAAATTCTGTATGCGTCAATGATGCTCACTGGTTACCCACTATTGTGTCGAAAGGCCAAACCTTCAACTTGAATTTAATTCTGTGGAAAAGGACAAGGTTACAGAGAGCATCTGGTCGAGCTCGTGCTAAGTGAAGGTTGTGCTGTGTGCTAGGGTACAATGGCACATGCACAGTTCAGCTGGTTTGCAATAGATGTTATCTTTCAGACACCACTGGACATGATGGTATAATTCTGCCATGACAGTGTGACTCTGGGCAACAATGTCTTTGTGTGTTGTGAAAGTCAAAACAAAATGGCAAGTATGCTCGTGTTAATACCCCTGACCTGATGCTTAACCTTCAAACTTGCACACTGAGTCTCTGTTTTTCCTGAAAACTGCTGTTTTGTCTCAGAGCTGCAGACAGACACAGTTCTCATCACAAGTGATGATACCTGACATGAAACTCGAGTCTTCTTGACACTGAAGTTGGTGCAATTTTGATTCATGTGGTGAAATCACAGACTCTAGGTGTAAGCCATCAAAATGGGACATCCATCATATAATAGCCATCTAAAAATTTCAGCAGCACTGGAAGCACAATGAGGAATTAAATTTAGGCACGCTTATTAACTATGGCTGCACCTCGCACTGTTATTTAAGATTGATTATGATTAGGAAATAATAGCAGCGTTTGGTATAAAATGAAAAAAGCAAACTAGCCCATTTCCTCCTTCAAGTGAAAGCTAACGTTTTAAATATTTAACTAAAACCATAAAAAACATGAATCTTGCATTAAAGCATCATCCTGCCAGTGAACATGACAACCACACAGATTTGCTCTGGGTAAATTAATCATTTCTGAATGTTGGTGGTGAGAAGACAGGGTTGCTAAAACTATAGTGAAGAAAATACAGTTTAGATGTGAAACAGTAGAACTGCAGGTGAAGAGGAGGTTTGGCTTTCTTGTAACCGAAGCACTGAGCTCATTAAAGCTGATCATGATATAGTGCCTTATCTCTGGGCAAATTAGACCTTTGTGTGCAATGGTACAAAGTGATACGGTAACTGCTTTATGGCAATTCTGGGTTTTTATAGGAATTGGCATTAATGTGATGAATACCTTTAATTTGTTAGGTACCAAATTTATTGAACATGAGAGAAACTCATACCCGCTAATAATTCATCCACTCACTGATTCTGACCTGATTTTTTCCCTTAAGGTAATAATCCTACAAATTTTGTGATGATGTTCAAGTTTCCAGACATCCAGCAGGTTTCTCTGTGATGTTATGATGTTTTTAGATGGTCAGTTTGGCGACTTATTTTGTAGTTACACAGGAGAAGTCAGTTCATTTCAATAAACGTAAAAAAATCCTACATGCTTTTTTCCAGTGTTAAAAATCAGCGCAACTGGCAGTAAGCTGCATGTTGCAAACATTAGCAAATAAGATTGAGCGCTTGACTAATATTTTCTCCTGCTTATATTTTGTACCTTGAGAAATAATAATGAATGCAGTGGTCATTTAATTTAACACAGAATACCTTAATTTGCCACAGAAGAGAAGAGACGATAAGGGAAGAGAGAAGAAGAATCTGTAGAATTTGTTAACTCCTTACATTTGGTAATAACTCCTCTGATAAAAGGACCAATCTGCGTTACTTGATGTGTTTTTGCATAATGTGAAATCTGCAGGGAAGAACACCTTATATTTGGACTTTTAAATGTTTTGGGATAAAGGATCAATCACACAACCATAAAGCAAAATGCAATAAATAACAAATCATATAAAACATAAAAAACACTATTCAAAAGACCAGTGGCAGCTAGGACAAATGCATTTTTGAGTCTGCACATTGGCATTCAGTAAATTAAACGTTTTTGGCTAACCTGGCTACGATCAGCCAGGTTAGAGTGGACCTGATCCCATACAAATGACTCAGGTTATCCTGCTGTTTTGATGCACATTGTAAGTACACCTTGCACTAAATCATTAAAAATGCATGACAATCATCAGTCATGGTTTGAACTCGAGCTAATTTAATTGCACTTATGTCTGAATCAGTTTTATGGCCCTCGTACTGACAAAGACACCATCCACAGCCTGACAGAAGACACATTTGGACCTAATCTGATTTACTTTGGACTCTTATGCCCAGTCATGGCACAGGAAAATAGTCTGTGGGCTAATCTGAGCTGAGCTCCAGATGTGGAGCTGTGACTGTGTCACTGTGGCCAGACTCACCCCGAAGCAACACTGGCAGTTAAAGCCTAATGCAGCTCATAGGAAACTGAAAATGTGGGCCTCCTTTGGTCCAAAGATACATTCCAGTTTCTTTGCAGTGAGAGTGGACTGACTGAATGTAAATAAACCAAAAGATACTGATGAAAATGCAGCTTGAGCTATTTATTTTGTGTTTCATAAATGGATGGTTGACTTTTTGCTAATGTTAGGATATAATGGTTTCACTGGTTTAGTCCATTTGAGATGGGTGGTCTGTAACAACAAAAATGAAATGATTTTAAAAATCTAGAAGTGGCAAAAATGTAATTACTCAACAGAAAACATCATTAATATTTCTGCTTAAACCGTTAATATTAGTTTCCAATGTTTTACGAGTTCCCTCTAAACTTCACAGCACCTTTCTTCCAAGTACGATGACTCACCAAAGTTCTCACCACCCCAAATGTCCATGGCAGTGTCGTATTTTCCAAGGTGATTGAACCAGGACCTGTCAATCACAAAGAGTCCGCCTGCAATGATGGGGGTCCTGTGAGAGAAACAACAAAAGGGGGAAAATAAGGGAGTCACAAGATGAGAAAAACATTTCCTTGTAATTTGTAATTAAGTCCTAAGCATGTCTACTAGATTTATGTCACTACTGACCCGAAAACATCCAGAGATGACAAAACAGATTAAAAAAAACATTTATGAAAAGGGAGTTTCAAAAGCATAAATCTTCACTACCTTCACTACCCTAACTTTTTAGCTACACATAAACATGTGAAAGAAAAGTAAAAGCTTCAGCCCTCACACGTGCTTGTGCTGCTTACATTTGTCCTCACATTTCTCCAGAATCTCATCAGATCTAATCCAAACACGAGGAGCTCCTGTGTAGTTTCTCTTTGAGTTTTGCCGTTTCCTTTCTGTTTGCCATAACGCAAACACACACACACAATCACACAGACACATGCAGGACAATGAGACGACTGAATAGCTGAAGGCCAGCACGCGCCATCAAATACCCTCTGTTTATCAACAATTATCCCGCTGTCATCGCCTGCAAATAGCACCCCGAGTGTGTGTGTCCGTATGTGGGTGGCAGAACATAAACTCTTTTCAAGCTCAATTTGTCCTTGTGTGTTTAAAGGAATGTAGCAGTGTGTGTGTGTGTGTGTGTGTGTGTGTGCATAAGACTTTGACTGCAGAAAGTGAGGATGTTAAATGGCATAAAATAACTTGGCAAATGCAATGAATAGGATGATACAAACAAGACTGCGTTTATTTGTGGACATTTATGTGTATGTGCCCCTATCTTTATGAGGACTGATGCTCGAGGGCTATTTTTTCTCTAGAGTGTCGAGGCCAGATCGGACAACACCACACAGTGCAGCAGCGATGATGTAACATAGGACTGGAACAGCAGAAATCTCAGTAATGATCATTTAAGAAATTAAGCTCAAAAGTTACGGGAATGCAGACCTCATCACAATCGACCGCCCACCGCGTTCCTTTTTCAGATGACGTTACCGCAGTGTCACTTAAATAAAGCTACTTTCAGCTTCTCCCTTATTCACAAAAGGTGACCACAGCGAGTCTGTCTGCACACTTCGAGCTTTTACAGGATCTTTTTCTTGTTAGACAAATGTTTAAATCACTGCATTATGGAGCAGTTTCACTGAAATGAGTAACAATAATAATAATTACCATTATTATTTGTATTGCAGTTTCTGACACAGATACAAAGTGCTTTTCAGTTTGGAAAAGTGTGCATACATACAAAAATGTGTTTTCAGCAGTAATTTAACCAAAGCACAGATTGACCTGGGGTCCGTTCTTCGTACCTCGCTAAGTAAGTTAGCTGGATTTGATTGTTGACGATTTTGCGTGATCTTGGATCGTTCGGTTCTCCAAAGCTCATCCGGGACTTGCTGTCATAGCAACAGATCCGTAAGCGTAAACCTGCTCGGGAGCAGGTTTACTTTATGTAAACAGGATTAGATCGCGGCCACTCAGGTATGTCCGCAACAGCGATATTTCACCACTGTTTTACCATAAATAAATATTATCAATGTAACTAAAGTTAATGCAGTATTTGATCCTTTTATTGATTTCATACAGATACATACAGGCCATTTCCTAAAAAAAGGGAAATGTACTATTAATCATTCTATTTCATGTATTTGATTATTTCAGATGTAATTCATATTTTAGAGTAGTAATAGTAAA